TGAAACCTATATAATTTTTATTAACCAATGTCACCCCAATAAATTCAATAAAAATTAAAAAGAAAACAAAAAACTGGCCTATCATTTAATTAACCTGGCAATAATGGCCTCATATTTACATGGCTGAGTTTTTTGGGCTTCATTTATTATGGGTGGGGTGTTTAATTTTAGATTGTTATAAGGCTGTACCTTAATTTTTTTCTATCTCATCAATATTTTATCTGGAAAATTTTGAAATATTGATAAAAGTTGTAACTTTTCTCTAGATTAGTACAATATATAATGGACACCCATATACCTTTCACTAAGATTCACCAATTCTTAACATTCAATCACATTTTCCCCATCTCTCTCTCTCTATCTCTTCCCATATGTGTATACATTTCCTCCCTGAATCATTTGAAAATTAGTTACATCATCCTGACTCTTCATCCCTAAATGCTTCAGCATGTGTCTCCTAAGCAAGGCCATTCGTCGGCATAACCATAATGACACTCAGAAAATATAACGTTGGTACAGTATCCTTATCTAATATATAGATCTTTTTATTGAATTACTCAAATTGTTCTGAAAATGCCATTTATAATTTTAAAAATAAATCCAGAATCTAATCAAAGATCGCAGCCTGTATTTATTTGTCCTGACTCTTGAGTCTCTATCTGGAGTGGTTCCTCAGCCTTTTTTTTTATTAATCTCTTATGAAATTGAGTTTTTAGAGAATCCAGATCAGTATTTTTTGCATTTATCTGATTCTTTTTTTCATGATTAGATTTGGGTTAAACATTTTTGGCAAGAATACCAGAAGGTGATGTTGCATTCTCTTAAAAAGTTTTATAAAGATTCTGGGAACTCTATTTTAGCAAGGTACTTTTGTTTGGAAAGAACATTTCTAATCACTGGCTCTTAATATAAAAACACACACAAACCTTACCGGTGCGTCTTCATTTGTCACTCTGATCCCATTTTCACAGGTATGTCCCCGATCTTGGGGAGCATGTCACACAAAAGGAAATTAGCACCATGAACATGGTCGACCCAAGTTCATGATGAATTACATCTAAGTTAGTCCCACCTCGCTCTCTTAAATTCTGTCTCTGATGGACACCTGGGTCATTGGGCCAGCAACCTTCCTTTCAGAGAGCCACCACTTCCCTCTCCATGTGGCCTGGGACTGTCAATCCTGGGATTTAACTTCTCCTCACATCTGGGATGGATGTGACCTGAACAGAAGCAGTCCTCCCTGGGAGATTACACATGGATTCTGAAAGAGAAGGCTCCCTCTTCCTCCGGGATCAGGAGATAAATGAAAATGCTGGCTGGAACCATTCGTGGCCATCTTCCTGCTTTCATGGGGCAAACTCTGCAGAAGAGAATAAAGTCCATACACACAATGAAGCAGGTCAAACCGAGATAAAAAGATCAGTGAAGCCCAGCCAGTGTGGCTCAGTGGTTGAGCATCCACCCAGGAACCAAGAAGTCCCCAGTTCGATTCCTGGTCAGGGCACATGCCCTGGTTGCAGGCTCAATCCCTAGTAGAGGGCATGCGGGAGACAGCTGATCAATGATGTTCCTCTCTCATAGATGTTTCTCTCTATCCCTCTCCCTTAAAATCAATTTTAAAAAATAAAAAGACCAGTGAAGAGAGACAGGGTTAGTCCAGTAACATTTATTAGTTCATGGGTCTAGCTATGCCTGAAGGTAGTTAAATCATCTGTTAATTCCCCTGTAAGCTAGTTGGAATGACGTTTCTATCTCTTGCAACTGAGTCTTGACTAACATAGTCACGATTTAAGAACTTGGTCAGACTCTCTTTGGGATATTTTTCTTTGCCATGTGGAAGCCATGGCAAGTCACAGAGGAGCCCAGGTGACAGCAGGGATGCTAATAACCCACTTCAGGGGTACTTGTTTGGCAGATTAAGGAGGGAACTAGGTAAGTACTTCACAGTGCCTGCCTCTTATTAGAGAACCGGTGAACGCTAGAGGAACGCTAGGGCATCTGCCAGGCTCTGCCATTCCCTCTGTGTCCTTGAGTTTCCCCTCCCTCTGCCCAGACTGAATCAGACTTTGCTCAGAACAGTGCTTGGTCAGGAAGTAGTCATTGCTCACTGTCAACATCTCGGTTATATTCTCTCCATTTGACCTGAACGCACAGGAACATGAACAGAGCATTGAACACGTCTCGAGGGTATTCAGTCTGTCAGGTAATTATTACATTGCCAGGTGAGAGAGGAGCCGTGGGCGAGGCTAAGCAGAACTTAACTGCATTGACATTTTTGGCAGCAGGCTTTCCTGGATCCCCTGAGGTCCCTACGTGAGCTCAAGCTGAAGCTCAAGGGGAGGGGAGGAGGGGAGGTAGAAGCAGGGAGAAAGACACCTTGGGGTTGGTAGGTTTTCTGTTAGCATTTGTATTTGTTTGGGCCTCATTTGTCCCCTTTCTGCAACTGTTTCCAGAAGGAAATTTGCTCTGTCAGAGCCCACAGTATCCACTTATTTGTTCTGTCACAGAGGCCGGGGGCAAATAGTCTTTGAAAAGCAAAACGCCCAGAAGAAGAAAGACAGCACTGGGTTTACATAAGCAACTTCACAACTCAGGCATGGAACAGGGGCTCCAGAGCTGCAAAAGCTCTCATAATTGCTGTATTTTTCTTTTTTCTTTTTATTTATTTATTTATATTTTTTATTGTGATGAAAACATATAACATACAATTTTCCATCTTTTTTATCCAATTATAGTTCACCTTCAATATTATGTATTAGTTTCAGGTGTACAACATAGTGGTTAGACAAACATATACTTTACAGAGTGGTCCCCCTGATATTTCAAGTACCCCCCTGGCCCAAACATAGCTATTACAAATATTTATTATTACTAGAGGGCCTGGTGCATGACATTCATGCACTGGGGGGGGGGTGTCCCTCAGCCCCCCCCTTGCCATAGCCGGCAGTCGGACATCCCCTGAGGGGTCCTTAGCACAGAGGTGGGTGAGGCTCCCGCCTCTGCCACTGCACTTGCCAGCGTGAGCCTGGCTTCTGGCTGAGCGGCACGCCCCCTGTCTGAGCGCACTGACCACCAGGGGGCAGCTCCTGCGTTGAGCATCTGCCTCCTGGTGGTCAGTGTGCATCATAGCGACCGGTTGTTCCGCCGTTTGGTCGATTTGCATACTAGGGTTTTATTATATAGGATTATTAAAATTTGCTGTATTATTCTTGACTCCTGTGCTAAGTTCCTGAGCAACCATTAAGAAGGGGCCACCTCAATGTTATCACCGATAAGGGTTTAATCTCCAACATTTATAGGGAACTCATACAACTTAACAAAAGGAAGATAAACAATCCAATCAAAAAATGGGCAAAGGACCTAAATAGACACTTTTCAAAAGAGGGCATTCAGAAAGCCAAGAGACATATGAAAACATGCTCAAAGTCACTAATCATCCGAGAGATGCAAATCAAAACAACAATGAGGTACCATCTCAAGCCTGCCAGAATGGCTATCATCAACAAATTAACAAACGACAACTGCTGGAGAGGATGCGGAGAAAAGGGAACACTTGTGCACTGCTGGTGGGAATGCAGACTGGTACAGCCACTATGGAAGACAGTATGGAGTTTCCTCAAAAAGTTAAAAATGGAACTCCCATTTGACCCAGTGATCCCACTTCTAGGAATATATCCCAAGAAACCAGAAACACCAATCAGAAAGGATATATGCATCCCTATGTTCATAGCAGCACAATTTACCATAGCGAAGATCTGGAAACAGCCTAAGTGCCCATCAGCAGATGAATGGATTAGAAAACTGTGGTACATCTACACAATGGAATACTATGCTGCTGTAAAAAGGAAAGAATTCTTACCATTTGCAATAGCATGGATGGAACTGGAGAGCATTATGCTAAGTGAAATAAGCCAGTCAATTAAAGAAAAATACCACATGATCTCACTCATTTATGGATAATAAGGACCATTATAAACTGATGAAGAAAAATAGATACAGAGGCAGAGCAGCCTCAAACAGACTGTCAAACTACAGCCAAAAGGCTGGGGAGGGTTGGAGGACAGGAGAGGGGTAAGAGATGAACCGAAGGACTTGTATGCATGCATATAAGCATAACCAATGGACAAGACACTGGGGGTTAGGGGAGGCTGGGGGATTGTCAAGGGGGGGCGGGGAAGAAGACATATGTAATACTCTTTGTAATACTTTAAGCAATAAAAAAATGTTTTTTTTTAAAAAAAAGAAGGGGCCACCTGAGGTGGGAGCTAACAGGTGTCCTGACTTCAGGCCTGGAAGATCGTGGAGGTGACACAGAGCTTCGGGCTGCAGCAGGCTGTCCATGGCATGAGCCTGTGACTGGACTGGACTTCCTGCTCAGTCCATGCAGTGTTTGCAGTGGGGGGCAAGGGTGCAGGAGTGACCTCTCACGCCTGAAAAATCTGCCTCAAGTGGTTGAATCTGCTGGGCTTGCTCTGTGGGAGTCAACCGACCCAGTTTCCCAACAACGTCCTCTATATTTGGGGGTCGGGTGATGGAAACAGGTGATTAGAGCAAACCTTGGTTCCAAGGGTCCTGGCTGAAGAGAAGTCCCTTTCTCTACCTGAATCCGTCTGCACAGGGAAAGGCTGGTGGGGTGGGTGGGCGGGCAGAATGGCTCATCGGGAAAACAGTTTTAGGGAGTTTTAGGGATTGTTCTCCTCGGTAAGAACTACTTCAGAGGGGAGTGATGTGCCCGAAGGAGACCAGTTAGAATACTGTCTCCCAAACTTGCTCGCTCTGAAACCTAATTTGATGATTCTTCATCTTTAAAATGGAGACACTCTTCCTCACCCCCAAGGTTGTTATGGGCATGAGACAGATGACCCAGAGCAACCGACAGAGTGGCTGTGGTTGGTGGTGGTGCTGCCCAAACGCATCCGATTCTTAGACACCTGGCTTTTCTCAGAGAGCAGAACACCACGTGCCTTCAATAAATATCTCAGGGAAGCTGAATTATTCATTTATTATATACTTGGGTTTACAAGGAAGGAAATCGGTTCCTTTAAAGCAGGACCATCGATTGGCTTAAGTAGCAGAAACAGCACTCCCTCGTCCTCACTTACAGGCCTGGACCGGGTTCAGGTGCCCAGTGGCACATTATAGGTGGACCTTCCGACCTGCAGACAAATGTAAGAGTCAAAGATCAATTAGATCATCTCAACGCGTGAGTGGCAGGGAAATATTTTAGCTACAACATTGATTTTGGCTCTGAAGTGCAAGTTCATGTACTCACAGTCAGCCGCATCTCCTGGCTTGCCTCTCAGCCCGGGGGGGGGGGGGATTGGTGGAAGGCACACAAACCCAAGGATGAGAAAAGAGGAGAAACAAGTATTTATGAAGCACCTCTTTCCACCAGGCCCTCCACCTGGCTACTGCACACTAGTAGCTCAACTAGTGTCTTGTCATCTCTAGGAGGTTAAGCTCCTTGCTCCTTGTCTCCAGGTAATACTACTGGTCAGTGGCAGGGGTCACTAGCACCAGGATGTGTCCCAAAGACCAGTGTTCTTTGTCGCCCCCAGCCTGACCATTCATTTAGTGACAGTCAACAAACATCCATTGTTCTTTTTCCATGTACCAGGCACCTGGGATGCAAGGACACTTCAGGTAAGTTCTCTGCCCCCAAGGAGCTCACAGCCTGGGGAGACAGACAGACAGACAGACAGACAAGTGAACCTACAGAACCTGGGATGGACAGGGTGGCATCAGAGGGTGATTTAGTGTAAATCTTAAGCTTCAGGATGCCTCCTCATTTGTATATGTCCTTTCTAGATAAATCTCTACTTTTTTAAAAAATATATATATATTTTATTGATTTTTTTACAGAGAGGAGGGGAGAGGGATAGAGTTAGAAACATCGATGAGAGAGAAACATCGATCAGCTGCCTCCTGCACACTCCCTACTGGGGATGTGCCTGCAACCAAGGTACATGCCCTTGACTGGAATCGAACCTGGGACCCTTCAGTTCGCAGGCTGACGCTCTATCCACTAAGCCAAACTGGTTAGGGCAAATCTCTACTTTTATACCTAAATCTGTATTTGTAATTTTGTATTCTTTTTCTTAAAGAGTGCCCCTCAGATTGTCTGAACCTCAGGACCCAGCAAGCCTGGATTCAGCCTGCAGCAGGATACACACACTGTGGATGTGCAGATACAACATCTGTGTCAGCCGCGAAGGCTTTGAGTAAGTGCGCTTGGCATGAGTCGTAAGCAAGAGAAGGATGTTCGCCTCTCAGAGAAGTGGAGTGTGGGGGCTGGAGTGGGCAAAGAGAACAGGATGCATGAAGGCTGGGGTAGAGGGGGGTTAAAATACCTCAACTTATTCAGGAAGCTCAAGAATGCCATAGAGCTGGGTGGTTGGCCAAAATGGTGTATCTGCTGTGGGGGTAGCCAGTAGGAGATGGGGTGCTGGTGAGGGAGGGGCAGGAGAGCTGTTAGAGCCGGGGTGGGAAGAGATGTTTGTGCTGAGTTCTACAGAATTTCAACTTTTATCCTTCATGCTAGAAGGAATAATGGAAGGATTTGTAGGGTGCCTTTTTAGGGTTATATTTTAGAAGTATCCCCCTGGCAGTAGGGTGGAGGATCACCTGGAATCAGGGTGACCCACACTCTCTAGTTTATCCAGCACTGTCCTGTTTTTAGCACTGAGAGTTCGTGTCCAGGAAAACTCCTTAGTCCCACGGGACCCTGCAGGAGGGTGGGCCCAGAGCCAAGAGAATCACCTGGGACTTTGTCTCAGTAATCTCCCCCAAACTTCAGACTCTGTGATCCAGCTATCCACCCGGCAGCCCTACTTTGATGTTGAATTGTCATCTCAAAATCAATATATTGCCCTGACTGGTTTGGCTCAGTGGATAGAGCGTCGGCCTGCGGACTCAAGGGCCCCAGGTTCTATTCCGGTCAGGGGCATATACCTTGGTTGCAGGCACATCCCCAGTAGGGAGTGTGCAGGAGGCAGCTGATCGATGTTTCTCTCTCATCGATGTTTCTAACTCTCTATGCCTCTCCCTTCCTCTCTGTAAAAAATCAATAAAATATATTTTTAAAAATCAACATATTTAAAACCTCAGGGCCTTTGCACCTGCTATTCCCTCTGTTACAAATGCTGTTCCCCAGGATAGCCTCATGGTTCACGGCTTCACCTCCTTCAGATTTTTATTCCAGTCTCACCTTCTCCTCGAGCTTCTTCCTGAAACCCTCTTGATAATTGCAACCCCTACTCCAGATGCTCCTTATCCCTGTCCTTGCTTTGGTTTGGTTCTCAGTGCTGACCGCCCTCCAACATACTTCATGTTTATATGTGTGTGTGTTCAGTTTTCCCACTTAGAAAGAACCATCACGGGGGCAGGACTTCTTGTTTGTGTCTTTCGCTGTGTCGAGGACAGTGTCTGGCAGGGAGCACACACTGTTTTCCTGAATGAATCCAGCCGTCCTGGATCCCTCTTTATTCCCTCACACCCCACCTCCAATTCATCTGCACTTTCTGTGGGTTCTCTGTTCAAAATGGATCCAGAAGAGGACCAGTTCTTACCACCTCCACCCTCACCACCCCGCTCCAAGCCACAGCATCGCTCACCTTATGCTCACAGAGCGTCTCCTCCTGGGCTTCCTGTCTCCACTCGTGCCTCTGGCCAGTCTCTTCTCAAAACAGCACCAGGGGACCCTGTTAAAATAGAAGTCACATCACGTCACTCTTCTGCTCACTTCCTCCACTGACTTTCTATCTCGTGCAAGTTCTTACAAGTCCCATCCTGATTTCCCCCCTTCCCTCCCTTCTTCTCTCCCCACCCCTTTACAGGCTCACTTCAGACTCAGATGGCATCTTCAGCTGCTTCCAGACTCACATTTGCTCAGCCCACTCCATCCGCACAGGCTTCCTTTGTGTGCTAGAAGCATGCGAGGCACTTTTCTGCCTCAGGGCCTTTGCCATTTCCCTCTGCCTGCACTACTCTCTTCTGTAGGCATTACCTGCTCTCTCACTTCCTTCAGCTCTCAACTCAAATGTCTCCTACCAGAGCCTTCTCGCCCACACCCAAAGGAAAGAACAAACCCTCCTTCACATGCTGAAGGGCCTTTATTTTCTCCTTTAGACACCTCGTGAGTCACATATGGAGAATCATCTATTGCTTCTCCCCCTACCCCCCCACGCCACACACACCTGAGTGTAAACTCCATAGAGCAGGGACTTTGTCGGTGAAGTACCTTCAGTGACTGGAACAGTACCTGGCACAGTATAGCTATGCAATGAATATTTGTGGAATGAAAAAATGTGGAATGAAGCATCCAACATCTATGCAAGAAATGGAATGATGAGAATCTGAACTAAGGAGGGAGCAGAAATAAGACCGAATAAGGAGGTACAGGCTTCAGGGCTTGTTGGAAACAAACAAACAACAACAAAAAAACAACACCAGAGCCCAGGACCATTATGAATAAAATAATAAAAATAAATTAATCTAACATTGATAAAGAGCTTTATTTTCTTTTTTAATAGAGCCAACATCTTTATGAACCAAATTTCTTTCCCTCTTAGAAAAGGAGGAAATGTGTGTACTTGTCATCTGGAAAGAACTAATTGCCTTCCTCACTGGTGAAGCATAACTTCAGAAAAATAGATCCTTTCCCTTCTCTTGTCTCCCCTGCTACTGTCTTTGGAAATTATTCTCCTTTGGGGAATGGAGGGTTTTGCTGCTCAAGCTTTCTTCCCGACCTCAAGAAGCCAATCGCTTGAAAGTTCTTTGTGGGAAGCCTGCGGCTGCTGGAATGTGCTGGAGAACATGGCTGCTTTCACAACCTTGGTTTTGTGTTTGTAATTCATGAAAGTTTTTGTTTTAATATTCACCACCTCCCACTTCTCCCTGCTTGGGCTTCCCTGTGCTTTCCTCACTGTCTCCTTCCCAATGTTCACATGGATGACACACACATCATCTCACTTCATCCTCATGGCTGTCCTGTGAGGTGCTATTTTATTTCCATTTACACATGGGGAAACTGAGGCTTATAGATGGAGTGGTATAGTGGGATCTGTCAGGACCCCCTCCCATGTCCCTCAGGGCCTCCTGGTGTCCCTGGGCACTGACTTCTTAATGCCAGGGTCTGTGTCTGTCTGCCCAAGGGCATTCCCTGGCCACTGGAGTGGGCCAGAGTGCTGGGGAAGTATGCCCATCCCCACCCAGAAGCCTTTAACCAGTGACTAATGGAGTTTAACCAGCTCACGTGTTCCTTGGGTGGGAGAGAACTGAGATGCATTTTCTATGCTGGCTCCCAGAGACTTCTAGTAGGATTGTGCTCCAGTGGCCCACAGGTATCTGGCTTGAAAATGTACCTTTTATTGGCTTCCTCCACTTCCCTCTCTTACTTTCCCTACTGATGTTTCCTGAAGTCACTTCCTAAATAAATACTTGTGCTGGAACCCTTGAGGGTCTGCTTCTAGATAAACAGAAGATAAGTCCTTGGCTAAGATTGTGTAGCCTCCAGGGGGCAGAGCTGAGCTGCAGACTCAAGTTGAGTGATTTGATTCCACAGCTTGAGAGTTTAATCACAATCTCTTCTTATATTTATTAATTAATTTTTAATTCCACCCCATGTAATGGTGATATCTTTTCTTCTAATATGTCCAATCACAGAAAACTATGGGTTTACTTAAAAAAAATTAAACTGATAAATCAATTGAATAATGCTAGAAATTTCTTCATATTGAAAATTTAGTTTATAATGACAAACTTATTTTAGTTATGAAAGGACGAATTCCCACAAGGCCATAACCCAGCACTTAGGGGGACACCGTATGATAGCAGTGATGACAGGAAGAAGAGCCAGGTGGATTGGTGATGAGTTAGGGATTCTTCGTAAAGTTAAAAATGAATTTACTGGAAGGTCTTGGTTAGCTGATGGAATTGAGAGAAAAGCTGGGCAGTCAAGTCCCAGAAAGAACAGAAACCAGGGCAGCTTTGGGGAAACAGGGACCAGAAACTACCGGACAATCTTTTCAGGGCACCATAGTCAGGTCAATTACGCTTCAATCACCCTCCATCCCGGTGAAAAATCTATTCCAGGCACAGACCCTGTGACTGGCTGGGCTGGGAGAAGGGGAGGAAGAGCACTGTGATTGACACAAACAATGCTATTCTCCACTCCTTTCCTCCCAAAATTGCCTTGCTGATTCTAGAAAAGGAGGAGTAGGATTCTCCGTAGTCAAACTCACAAATGCTCTCAAGAAAGAGGAAAGACAATGTGTGTTGAGTAAAGGCGAGAGAAGGGGGAAATGCCTTGGCATCTGTAAAGGAAGACAATTCTGGGCACTACAGGGGCCATGCAGTGTGAATGTTCCCTTCTGATGTAACCTCCTACTTTTCTCCCTTTTGTTCTTTTCGCTCCAGACACACTGGCATTCTGGTGTTCCTCCATCACCCCAGGTACATTCCTGCCTCAGCTGGAAACTCTCATTGGAACCCACTGTACCTCCCCCATAGTGTGGTCGGTGAGTTTATGCCACACCTATAAATAGTTCTAACAGAGTGGGCTCAGTCACGATCAATAAATCATTTTGTGAGCTGACAGATACTTCTCCTAAGAAGGCATACAAAAGGCCAACAGATATGAAAAGTTGCTCCATTGCACTAGCTATTAGAGACATGCAAATCAAAACTACAATGGGATTCCACCTCACATCTGTTAGGATGGCTATTTCAACAAGACAAGTAATAACAAGTGTTGGAGAGGTTGTGGAGGAAAAGAAACCCTCATTCACTGGTGGTGGGAATAAAAACTGGCATAGTCACTGTGGAAGACAGTATGGAGGCTCCTCAAAAGACTCTCAAATGCCTCTGCTGGCAAAACTCTGAGAATGCCATTCCTGGGGCTGCAGGACCGGAGGACTTGGGTTCGAGAGAGAGAGAGAGAGAGAGAGAGAGAGAGAGAGAGAGAGCGCTCCAAGTTGCAAATCCGTAAACAGCATCTCGCAGGGTCTGTAGGAGGGATGCAGTGCGTCCTTCTGTAATCAGTGGATGAGGACCAGAGTTCAGGGAGGGCTGTCATTGGAGCGCCTGCGGGAGGAAAGATGAAGACTCTTTAACAAGGTGTCTGTGGTGACAAGGGCAATGCAAGGCTCACGGATGAGGATTTGGACAAAACCTCCCCCAGGAAGTTCTCTTACCACATACTTAGGAGGAAGGCTGGAAACTCTTATTGGAACCCACTGTACATCCTCCCAAGTGTGGTCGGTGAGTTTATGCCACAACTATAAATAGTCCTCCTACCAGAGTGGGCTCAGTCACACTCAATAAATCATTTTGTGAACAGCACAATTCCTGAGCTCACAAGCTCTTCATTTTTGTTGATCCTGGATTCTGACCTAGAGGAACCCGAGTGAGGATGAGAGTCAAGGTTCTCCACGTGAGCAAAGTAAGGCCGCCAGCCCCCTCCCAGGATTCTAGCTCGGAGGCCTAATCCTACCTATGTTATGTAAGCAGGACTAGCTTGGATCCAGCTGTTTTCCTTTGCATCTCTCTGCTCCCTAAGAAAATCTGTCCCAACGGCCTGATGTTTCTGACCCAGCTCACATGTTTTGAATCTGTTTTTCTTTGTTTTTTTGTTGTTGTTGTTTTTACTCCTAAGGTTGAATCACAAAACCCACACCCCCCGGTGTAGATTCTCCTTTCCCAGCGGTAGTACAATGCTTCTCTGGTGATTGCATCCATCTTCCACGGAGGCATCGGACAGTGAGGGTTTTGCCCTGTGGTTCCACAATGTCCCTATTTCTGAGGCAGTAACACTCACCTATTGATCCATGAACAAGCCTCAGAGGGCCCATGAGCTCCTAATTCATGTCACCGTGTCTGTTTTTCTGGGTAGTGAGCCTATCAGAGTCTAAAAGTATTCTGTGACCCCTTCCAAAATTAAGATCTGCTACAATTGTCCCTGTCTTTTGGAAATTTTGAACACTCTACTTTAAAGTATGTTCTGTTTAGCTCCCCTCCCCATTGGTACTTTCTTAAACTTGGAAATGTGAAGTCATCTTCTATCTTCTCTCTACATGATCTCTTACCATTTTCATTATACAGTGGGGCCTTGACTTACAAGTGTTCTGACTCACGAGTTTTTCGAGATACGAGCCGTCTCTCGGCCGATTTTTTGCTTTGAGTTGCGAGCTCAAATTCGGGTTACGAGCCAGCTTCAGATACCCCACCTCGAGTTGGCGCAGCGAACGTCACAGTGAACGCCACAACATCAGCCCAGCATCACGTGTCTCACTCGTTCACTTTAAGATTTGACATTCGAGTAATTTGAGTTATGAGCTCCGTCATGGAATGAATTAAACTCGTAAGTCAAGGCCCCACTGTATTCTTAATTTAGGACTTTTCAGAGAAAACTCATAAAAAATAGGTAAACAGATAAATGGGCAATGTTGAAAACAATGAAGCCAGCATTCAATCTGGGTCACAGGACATGAAGTACAAACATATCTCATTAATATTTGTGTTAATAAGAAGCCACTAAGATGAATTTTAGTTATGTAAAAATATGTAAAACCAGAGAACCTCAAAATTAATATGTAAATAGGAGGGAATAATTTTCACCAAGAAGAGGGTTTTAGGAACAAAGCAGAAAACAACACTGAAGCAAGAAAGCGCCTCTAATTCTTCGCTACTTACAGTGTGTCTGTCACTGGACCAGTGGCATACATGTCACCTGGGTGCTTGTCAGAAAGGTAGAGTCTCAGACCCCACCCCAGACCTGGGGAACCAGCATCTGCATTTTAACAAGATGACCCCCAGGGGATTTGAATGCAGTTCAAGTTTGAGAAGCACTGCTGTAATCTATCTCCCCCAAGCAAATACCAGGCCACACCTAAACCTCACATTCTGAAAATCAGAGCTCACACCTGCGAGTGGTGACCATGTGCTGGATGGATTTCATGCCAACACTGGACATGGATTCTCTCATTCACCCCACAATCCTTCGGGGTGGATACTGTCATTAACCTCATTTTATAGTTGAAAGTGAAGCTCAGAGAGTTTGAGAAACTTGCATAGGTTTCCAGCCTGGGTCTGTCTCCAAAGCCCAAGCATGTAACCACTGCCCTGATTAGAGATTTTCCTGCATCTAAAGAGAATCCCCTTTCTTTTTCTAACTTTAGGCTCAGAGGGTGTGGATCTCACCCTTAGGTCTGCAACATCTGCAACACAAAGAGGAACCTTGTCAGGTTTCTATCAGGTAGGATTTCTTTCCTTGCCAACTTTTTCA